AATAATACCTTATTTATGTCAATAATACCTATGTTTATGACCATATATATTTGATACATTTATTTCACACTATATTTTCGGTTATGAAAATGATGTTGCATTGCAATTACAAATTGAAGATGTTCTTGAAACTAAATGAATTATATGTGAAGAATAAAATGTTTTTAAGAAATTTTTAAGAGATAATATTGAAATGTTTTAGATGCATTACAATTTAATTTAATAATCGTAAATATTTTTTAAAATTAAATAATTTTGGACAGATTTTTATAATCTAATAAACTTAAGAACTAGATTTTAAATAAAATGAAAAGAAAAAAAATGTATAATAAATTAATTTATATTTTTTTGTTTCAATTAAAATTTAAATTTTTTCCATCTGCTTGCATAAATTTAAAAGTGATATTTAATTAATATTTAATTATGTTTTTGCTAAAACTTAATCGTATTCCCCATCTAAATTATAAAAACACATTAAATATGTGCAAAAAATATTTTTTTGTTCATTTTGGTATAAGGTTTATAATCAATTAAATAAAATTTTCGCGTACAGATTGGGAGTCTGAACACCATCAGAAACTCATGGAAGTGTAGGGCTCGGAACAGTGGTGATTCGTCAACCTGTCAGTATAGTGATGTACCATGTGGTGCATCATATTTCAATGCTTCATGTTCTGGTTCACTACAGGGTTGTCCAGCTAAATTCAGTTTTATTTCTTTTTGCAATCGCGCTAGTTTTTCTATTTATTTACATCTACGTGCACATATTTTTTTTTCTGCTACTTAAGTAATCAGTTACTTCTAATTAACCATCCCCAGGCAATCAGTAACGGATGACATGCTCTGTCAAGTCGTCCTTAACATAATTAGAAGAATAATTATTAAATACATATTAAAGGTATAAATTAATGAAAGAATAAATTATTAAATATGAGTACACTGTAAAGAAAAAATATAAAGAGGAAATGAGAAAATAATATCTAAAATACAATTAAATGTTATTTTACCAACACAAATTTTATAATATACACTTCGAAATTTTACCTATATTTTTATTTGAAAAAAATTTTTAAAACTTAATATATTACCTAAGTAAAAAAATATTCAAAAGATTTCGCAAAAGACAATCATATATTTTTATGACTGGATTTGAATATTTCTTTTGTTTTTGAAATAAATAGTATCTTAGCAAATGACTCAAAAATTGCATCAGTCATTTACGAACCCTATGTAAATTTTTGTAAATAATTTAAAAACTAATTGGAATTATTTGAAAAAATTCTATAAGTATCTTTTAAATAACTGGAATGAGATTATAATTCAAATTATTGAAATGTACCACATTTTGTTACTTTTATTAATATTTTTGCTAGCCGACGCTACTTACCTTACCTATCAAAAAATACGAAACGTACATGAAAAACATACATCCTCTTTCATTAATATCTGAGACCATGCTAAAATATGAATTCGAAAATATTTTTAATTTTTTCTTGCTTTCTACATTTCTTCCTTTATCGTTCAATAGAATTTAAATGGGAAGCTTTTTGAAAAATTTGTATAGTATCCTAAGACTTTTTTAAATATTAAACTCTTTTTTACTTAAAAAAATGAAAAAATTTATAATGAAAGAATTTAAAAAATAAACAGGAACGGATGCAGCAAATCGGAATACTTCGAAAAAAATTGAGTTTTGGGTTTTGTTAGATATAAAGACGTTGCAGGTACTTATCTGTCCGGTATAAGAAAATTTTTAAAAAACTTATAAAACTTGAAAAAAACTTTATAAAGCTTTTCCAAAGCGTCTGGCATAATACTTTTGAACAAAAATTAGCGAAAACGATGACGTTTTCATTTTCTCAACGTTCAAAGTTTTTTTAAGTTTTGTAAAGTAAAATTGAGTGTTTTATAAACTTTTCAAATTTTACAACTGTCGAAACCATGAATGTGCAATAACATATAGGTAGTATTATGTTTTACGTAGAAAAAAAATTAAGGCAGCATAAAGAGAGTGTCAGAGTATTTTTGACAAGTAAAAATGTTGTTTTTCCTATCTCTGAAAAATATTAAAATGGGGGAAAAAAGTTATGGGAAATTTAAAAGAAAATTTCGCATTTAAATTTATTTGCGTTATATATTATTTAGAAAATAATAAAAACTTTTATTGGGTGTAACCGAAAATGTTAAAAATAAAGATGTACTAACAAGATAAATTTCTGCTAAAATAATTAATTCTGCGATATCAACGAATTAGAAATACTAAAGGAAGGAGCATCTTGAAAAACGATGGGCATTGTCAAAGTCGTTAAAGGAGCGTAGTTTTTTATTTTCTTATCTGGCCTCTACTATAAAATATGTGTAATTTGTAAGAAGGATAAGTCAAATTTTGTTTTAAAGTGAAAACTAAAAAATATTTCAAAATATTTTTTCATTTTGAATATCTGTAAAAAAAATCAAATTTAAACAAAACTCATTATTTCTCTTTCAATAAATATTCTATAAATTGCAAAAAATATAGAGAATATATGTTTCATAAATATTTATTCTCTTTGAATATTTAATAATTTACTTCCGTCGAAAATGAACAGATGCATTTTGATAAAAAAAATTCTTATATTATTAGTTTTGCTCGAAAATTTTACTTCATGCTTTATTCTAACATTAAAATATATGTCACATATCAATTTTATAACTAAAGTAAAATGATTGAATTCAGAGTCTTAATCTTATATGTGATTATTTAAATTATTTTCGTATTATATTATTTTTTCAACATAACCTGCAATGTATACTGTAATTGTCTCTGAAAGTCGTGAAAGTGTTTCAATATAATCCTCAACAGAATCTTCAGCCTGTAATTATATAACTGTAATTATATGAAAAAAACCCAATTTAAAATATTGTATGAATGTTACATTTTCTTCGAAAAAGTCCGGTCCTGGTAAAGTTATGTCGTTCGAAGTAATTTTAGTACAAAAGGAACGAAAACAAATGTCTTCACTCCAGCATTAAAAACTTCAGAAGTTTATGACTCATAATAAAAAATTACGAATTAAATTTAACGCTATTAAATAAATATTTCTTTATTATTAATATAAATCACATTCACATACATACGGTGGGAATTTGCTTTTGTTCTTTTAAATGAGAACAACAATTTGGAATTATACACTTCTTTTTCCTCAAAAAGTTTTTTTTCTCCTTTTTCCATTTTGAATTTTTTCTTATAAATTTTTTCAAAACAATAATATATTTTTCACACTTTTTTTTTTATTTTTTTTTTAAAGTTCATTTATAATTCACGAAAATTTTATGACCGAAATCACAATTTTTTTTTTGTTTATTAACATTTTTGTACAAGTGCGGTGTAATTTTCTAAGAAAAAAAACAACATCTTGCACTTAATGTGAATTTCAGTTTGAAAATGCCTAGAGCAAAAAAAGAGACTTACCTAAAGTTTTTGGCTTCACTATATTTTTTTTCAAGATACAATTTTTTAGAAAGTGTAAGCGAGATAAAAACAAAGATGCTCCTTCGCCTTCCTTTAGTATTTCAAATTCGTTGTTCGGTACACAGACAGAACATACAAGGTATATTTTTAGTCTTACGAGTATGTACTTATTATATGTTATTCCCACTCTCTTTCTTTTTTTATTTTTTAATAATTTTTTTTTACGTCATTAGAGTGTGTATGTATTAAATTATTCACATATTTGTCACATGTAGAAGATAACATATGTACGTACCCACAGACATCTTTATATAAGACTCCGTAATACACAATTTACTAATGTATACGTACGGTATATTCAAAGTTGATCATCATACTTTTTGTTAAGAAATATATTCTTATATAAGGTATTTTCGAATAAATGAGAAATGTTCATTGTGATTTGCGATGTTTGAAAAATAAAAAAAGATAAAGAAATAAAACGATCATACATATAGAAATGCCCCGAAAGTGTTGCCTCGAAGGATGCAGAAGCAATAATCTACGAATAATAGAACAGGAGAACGTTGATGATATACCTACATTTATTTTTCCAAAGAACGAGATCATCAGAGATAAAACATTAGGAAAAAGGAATTCGACACCAACGAAGTAGATATTTTTAATTATTAAGAGCTTCAAATTTTATTCTGTTGTCTGTGGCAAATATAATTTAATCAATTTCCTACTAATGTTAGGATTTTAACAATTTAAATAAGTATGTAACTTAGTGTCTAATAAAAGAAAATTAAAAAAATTTGTGTAATTTAAATGAATACACAAGCATATATTTATATGATAAGCATAATTTATGGGTTTCTCATCAAATATTATTAGTTTTAAGAAAAATGGATTAAAAATTTAATTTTTTTATGTACATATGTTATATAGTTAATAAAAAAAGTAAATTCAAAAATATTTTTTAAAAACAATTGTTTTATGTATTTACTATTTTTGTTTTGCCTAGAAAATGTTTTGTTACATGTAATTCTAGCTTGCGTAAAATATGAAATTTTATTTTGTTATTACTAAAACGAAATAAAATAATTTCTGTATATACTTTGTATTTAATCGTTTTTATTTTTCAAACATGCCAAATCACCATGAACATTTCTAATTTACTCGAAAATAGCTAATATAGGAATATATTTCTTAACAAGAAGTACTATGTTAAATTTTGAATACACCGTATGTATAGATTAGTAAATTGTGTAAATTCTGTTGTTCCTCTGGATTAGTAAATTGTGTAAATTCTGTAGCCAATGTTTGGTTCCCGATTATAAAAAATGAAAAATTTTTTTTTGTTTGTGTTGAACTGTCTTGTATTTTACATGTCTTTGGTTTTATACCAGACCGACATAGTTATTGAAAGTATCTGAATGAAAATTAGAAATTTATAAGATTCAGTTTTGCAAAGAAAAATAATAGGATCTTTAATAAAAAATTTTAATTATTTTTCTGACGTTATAAATTAAATACTCAAACGAAAAGAACAAAAATAAGAGGCAAATTTGAAATTAAAAACAAATTTAAAACAACTTTATTTTTCTAATGATTTTTCAGAAATATGTAAAAGTTCTTTTGATAACTCATCTGCTCCAGTCGTCGGGATCTAAACCTATCAATTCGGCTTGCAAGCGGCCCTTCGTTTTGCAGCATATTGTTAGACAAAATACTCTTAGTGCCATACGAAATTGCGGAGACATGGAGATCATAATAACAATTTTCCAAAAAGAGTTTAACACACCCAACCATATAACAGCAAAATTGATTAAAGAATTTTCGATAATGTATCCAGTGACACCTTCGTAGATTCGAACACAAATATACGGTAACCAAGATGCCCAGAATGCGAATACCAAAGCAAAAGACATCAAATGGGATGGATTAGACAAATTTTCTGCAAGAGCTGTGGCATATTCCTTGTCATGGATCGGAGCACCCGATCTTAGTTTGTGCATCATATAAAATATGTAAATATAATTATGCACGATGGAAATAACGCTAGGCCCTAGAACCAAAATGCCTAAAGTGGCACTGTAAGCGGCCATATTACCCCAATCTAGCATACAAACGATTGAATCTTTATGAAAAAGGGGTGTACTATAACCCAAGAGCGGCGGACAACAAAGCATTGCAGCTGAAATCCAAGTAAACGCCATCCAACACTGGCACCTGCAAAAGTGAGAAAATTAAAATTTTTAAAAATAATATTATAAATAAACTATCTTAAAAAATATATTTCCGAGCATATAACATAAAATAGGTGTTAGGTTCGTTTATGAGAAAGAATTAAATTTTCCATCAGTTATTTTTTTAAAAAATAAGCTAGTGATATTAAAAATTGAAACATGTATGTACATATATTTCAGGATTTGTGAAAGCTGTTATTACATATCACAATGCTGAAGTGCTCAAATTTTATTAAATACCATTAAGATACATGGCTTTAATTCTATTCTATTCCTATTGCGGTTTTTTTCTAATAATTTCCTAAAAAATCTGCATAAATGTAGAAATCAAAATGAAATGTGTTTTTAAATTTATCTTTTATAATTAAAAGGATTTTCAATTTCAAGCGCTTCGCAAACGATTGTGACTTTATTTTTAGTTTTACAACTTTAAAACAAAATAATGTTTTTAAAATAGTTTTCACAAAATAAATGCGATGAACTCTAGGGTTTTCTGTCAGAACGTACAATCTAAATTTTTGATAAAAAAAAGTTATGAATACAGTATTATGTACTTAAAATTTTAATACAAGAAAATACAAGATTGCTTTTTAATACAGGAAAAAGAAATTAAAATTTTTCCGGTTGTTTAAAAAACAAAATTCTTGAAAAACATTATACGGGTACTAACCGATTATAACTAAAAAATTTCTAATTTTGATTGAATTTTTAGGTTTTTTTGATAAGATGTGTTTATCACTTCAATATTATTTATTGAAAAATAAAAGCTTACCAAAAAAAATTTTTGTTATTCATTTATTACGCGTATAGTGATCACTTTTGTCATTTTCGCGAAATAAATATTTCTTTAGTTGATTGTGTGCAATCTTTTGAACCTTATTTTAGTTACATTATGTTTTCAGCAAAGTCTCAAGTTATAACAATCATATTTTTTATATTATATTTTTTTATATATTTTATAATAAAATACTTAATGTAAGAATTATTATAAAATTTTTTCTCTACATGAAAAAATATTTCAGGACTGAAGCCAATTGTTAAAGCAGCTTTTATCATCGAGTCTTGCCAATTAAAAAAAAAAATGCTTTTTTTAATTTAAACGATATGTAATATATTTTATTTCAAAAAATTTCTATGGTTATCATGAAATCCATTTTGCAAACGTAACTGCAAAGTTTGCATAAATAAAGCACTTACAAGTAATGCTTATAAAACAGCTTTGTAAAAATAATACTGTGTTTATAACTTGCATTTTGAATCATAATTTTGAACCGAAAATACTTATTTTTTATCATATTTCTTTTTTAAAAAATAACAAAATTATTTGCTTATCCACGTTTTATACTAGACAGACTTATTATGAGCACTATACATCTTTTTATTACTTTGTTTAGATCGTCGTAATCATGGATCTAATAATATATGAATAGCTAGCGCTCATACATTTTTTATTAAAATATATGCAGTGTACCTAAACGTCAAATTGACAATCTCAAATTTTACGTTTTAGCAAATTTTAAAAATACAATAGTGTCTTGTTTTCAATGAAACCAAATTGTAGGCTATTTTAAGTAATTTTTTAAATTTTCGTTTTCGTAAAAGTGAAAAATATTTAAATTTAAATTTTTTTTGCGAAAATTACGCAAAATTTTCTGAAACAATTAAATTTTATTTTGTGGTTAAATGATGAAGTTGGCTTTATCCCGAAAGCAATTTTTTAAAAATACTAATAACATTAATTTTATTAGCAAGAAGTATATAGTTTTTAAATCTTGTACGCGATTATCTACCTCGCCGCAATGTAGGAGCCAAGTAGGGTCATTGAGTTTAGAGATAATTTACTTTTTCTCAAATATATCCCTCCTAGCAAATCCTATCATTTCAAACTCCCCTGCTGACCATCAACCTGGCTGGGGGCTTAGTCGGAAAGGAATTTGGCAAAGCCAGTCCCGCTCAGTAAAACTGAGATTTCGCAGAAGGCGAATCGACTGGTGCTATACCAATGGTGAAGCCACAGTACCAACCAAGACCAAGTTGCCGTGCACGAAGCTATGACTCAGTCAGGCCTAGTGAGGGTAGCAGCTCATTGGGTGCAGTCAGGGACAGGCCCAAGAATCCATCACGCCCTCACGACGGGCTTATAGGGAAAGGCGGTCAGCGTTCAGGAATCTGGAAAGGATTGGACGCATTCCTGAAAAAGATAGTTCGGACGAAGAAAGGTCCACATATATCTGGGCAAAGAGTATATTGGACAAGCATATAAGCGGAAGAGTTGGCCACTAAACGGCAACGCTCCACGGAGGAACCACTTCGAGAAGCGAAGAGGTCCAGGCCGTCAAACAAACCCTCAAGCGCTAAGCCATATTATGAAATCCTAAAGAAGCATCTAATTGTTGCAGTGGTAGAGCAGGGAAAAGATGAGGGCAGGATTTCAGCATAAACTGGCGGAAGGTGGAGAGTCGATTGTTGGTAAGCTCTCTCCAGATTGTGAAAGAGAACCCGGGCCCATATCACTCTTACAGAGACCAAGGTTGGCATCAGAGGAGCCGAACAAGGAAACCAGCATAGAGATGATTCAGTTAGGCAATTCGAACTTGCTAACTGCCAACTGGAGAGTGGCCAAGTTGGTAGAGGAGATTGCAGACAAGCCGCCTGCTCCACTGGAAAAGCAGAACTTCGCTCTAAATTATGGGTTTTCCTCAATAAACCTGAAGGTGTACAAAACTGACACAAAAATTGAGGGAACACAGAAACCGGTGCACAAGCAGGCTGCTGAAGAGCCGACCGCTTAAACTCCGATTTCATCAGAAGCAGGAATACTGGATGGAGCGGATCTGAGACACGACCTTTGCAGGCATCTGCATCTGGAGGGGGCCCTTTTGGAACTGCACCTAGACGATGCAGAAAAGACGTTGGTGGAGGCTGACGAATGCAGTAATTCTTGTAATAACGCAGATCAGCTTGCACCACTCTAAAGCGGCATCGGCTGCGATCCTTCTCCGCTTACAAAGGGGCGATGAAGACATAGTTCTGGTGCAGGAACCCTGGCTGGTAGGCGAAAAGATCTGCGAATTCAGGACGGTGGACTACAAGCTGTTTTATAGCAGCAGCAAGTAAGGTCCTGCATATTAATTAAAAGTAATTTAAATGCTTTTCTGTTGCCTCTTTACAGCAATGAAGATTTGACTACAGTCAGTTTCGAGGTCGGTGGCAGGATATCCTGGTGGGCCTCAGTGTACCTGCACTATGATTCCAGGGATTGCTTCCGTCAAACAATCAGAGAGTCTCAGTGGAGAAAGCACGGTTTCTCAGCACGGCCCCCATCATTTCAAGCGATACCTACGCACATCACGTAATCTATGGAGCTCGGACACCAATGCAAGAGGTGAGTGATTTTTTGAGTTTATGCTAAGTACTAATCTCACACTTTGTAATTGGGGCTCAGAGACCACTTTTTTCACTTAACATAGGAAGGACGTTATAGATATAACCATTGCTTCGCAAATTATTGCTGGCTTGGTCAGTTTTGCTAGAATTGGAAAGTATCGCAAGAGCACTCCTTTTCCGATCATCGCTATATGGGATTTGAATTTTCTGCTCACAGGATATTACCCTGACTTTCAGGAACCGAAGGCGGACTAACTGGTTAAAGTTTGGAGATTCGCTAAGCGATATCTTCGGAAACGCGGTCCCTTCGCGTCGTAGGACGCCTGGGGACCTCGGCGGTATGGTATGCCCGCTCACTGAGGCCATAAATAGCGCCTCCAGGATTGCGTGACCACTAACTTGTATAAGACGCGAACAGAAACCACAGTGGTGGACCGAAGAGTTAAGCGCCCTTCGGTAAAACAAGGAAAAGCTCACCAGAGCACCATCTGATTGGTGTAGTTATAAGGATGATCCCAGAGAGTACAAGAGGAGGTTGTCGAAGGCTCCGAGAACTTCCTAGGGGAAGTTCTTCGGCAGGATTGAGAGCACTGTAGAGGTCTTCAGATTTAGGCAGGTCTTGGCAAGCCAAGTTGCATGCTAGCCCCTGGTGATTGTTGGAACAATTCTGTTGCGGAGTTTTAAAGTTGCTTCTGGCTGCACACTTTCCTGAAGTTCGCGGAGAGTGTGTTCGGATCCATCACGATGACGTATCCTCCACGGGGCATTGGTTTCTGAGATTGAAATATTGTGCGCCATTCACAGCTTTGAGTGGCAAACCCTTCAAGCCGGGGTGCCCTGACTACATTACGCTGGCAAAAATACAATGCGCTGCGGTATAGACTCAGCGTATTTTATTTCTGTGCTGAGCGTATTCCGCAGTGTATTGTACTGAGCCTCGTCTCTGAGGCTGACTATAAACCCAAAAAAGACGGAGCTTGTTATTTTTTGTAGAAAATACAAGGTACCGAGCATAACTCCACCGCAACTCAATGGAATCCGCTTAACCTTTAACAAGGAGGCCGGGTTTGTCGGTCTAATTCTTGATTCAAAACTGAACTGGAAGTCTAACATTAGGGGGGGGGGGGGTAAGGAAAGCAACTATTGCCCTTTATTCATGTAAAAGGGTCATCGGGAAAAGGTGGAGCCTCAAATCTAACATGGTCTATTGGTTATACACCGCGTTGGTTAGAGCGATCTTGATCTATGGTGTTCTGGTATGGTGACCAGCGCTATGCACAACTGCGAACTTTAAACTACGCGAAATTCAAAGAATCGCACTGGTGTTATCAGCAGGGTGTTATGTCCCGCTCCTACTCAGGGTCTTGAAATTCTCTTCCAATTGACGCCATTAGATATACGCCCATTCTTGCGGACTGAGGACACGTGATGGGGACACCAGGAACTTTGATACTTCAATTTCGCCGAGGCAGATCCGGCTGAACAGGTACGATTTCAAGGGAGGTTCATTTTTACATGAACGGATCTAAGAATGAAAACAGGGTAGGTGGGAAAGTCTATTCTGAGTAATTGAATGTTGAGCTCTCCTTCCGTTTAACGGGTCACTGCAGTGCCTTTCAGGCAGAGGTGGTCGCGATTGGGGAGGTTCTGCACTGGCTTGGCGGCAGTGTGATATCTATCGGTAACCTCAGTATCTTCACAGATAGCCGCGATAAGGGCTTTGGAGTCTGAGATTTCTACATCCAGAACGGTCTTGGAGTGCAGGTCGTCTCTTAATTAGATGGCGAGGCTATATGTACCCTTCGGGGGGCCCGCTAACCTAACTTAGTTTTTAAATTGTGAACATAAATTTATGTTTATGAAAATATGTAATGAAATGTTTTTGGTAATATATGTGTTCATGAGTAGATAATTATATTTCAGATAATGACAGGTTATGTTTGATAAGAATAATAGCATCTGAGTATGTAAAAAGTAGATCAACTTCTAACAACAACTATTTTGTATACCGGTCAATAATTTAATGCAATGACTAATAAGCCAATTCTTAACTATATTTTCAAACCGTTTCTGCAGCCACGTTTTGTGTTGTGAAAAATAAAAACAAAAAAGCACCATATTTTATGTTAGCTCCAAAAATTATTATTTGCCAGCATGTATTATTAGATCCATGGTCGTAATTGCAAATAAAAATCTTTGTGCAAATTAATAAATTTTAAAACAAAGACGTCGTAATCCAAATTATCGTATATCAAGTACGTCGTAAATTGAGGTATGTATGTATATGAATTAAGGAATTGTTTGAAGAATATACGAGCTTATCTTTAGGAACGACATATTACAAAGACAAATTTTTGGTGTCATTGAATTAAATGAAATTTAATTTAATTGTTGCTGTGGAAATTTCGCAAGCGGAACCTAGTGGAATTGGAATACATTTGGTTGTTACGGAGGTGACTTTTTGTAAAAACGAACGTATCAAATGAATGCGTTTAAATTAAATAAATATATTAATGAGTTTTTAATATGTATATTTGAAAGTTAATAAACATAAGTTGTTTATTAACTTTCAAATATACATATACATAAGTAAGGCTTTTATCTGTGTAACTAATAATTGTTGCTAAAAATAATTTTTTTTCACTTTAATTGATTTTACAAAAGTAACAAAGTAAATATTGGAGGTGTCAAAGAAATAAGCCAATAATGTCAAATCATTGTTCACCAATATATTCTTTGCTTATTTTAAACAGGTCATTGAATTATGTCGTTTCATTGATCATTGTGAAACTGGCATCAGCTGATTACGTTGTAGTTCCCGTTCAAACTGAGCGTCGAGGGTAAATATTGAATAAATAAATAAATAAATAAAAATATAAATAAAATTTAAATAGTTTACTTGCTGACACCTGATTTCCTCAAAAAGTTACTTGACTTGTAGCATAATTACCACAATAACACATAAACATTGAGGAAAATGCGCTGTTTATTTTTTTTAGAAATAGTTAAAAACCTGAAATCGGCCGTAGTAAAGATACAGTTCCAGAGATCTGATATATCTTAAAAGTTGATCAAACTGTCTCATCCTCAAAGCAAACTGACAGATTTATCTCAAGTTCGGCTGAAGTTCAGCTGAGACAAACAGACTGATAGACAGACAGGCATACAAACGGACCGACGGACATCTTTCTGAAAATGGTTTATTTACATTTCCCTAGCATGGAGAGGCGCTTTTCCGCCCTTTAGTGACATGACATAACCTCGATTATTGTGTGCAATATCGATAAAAAACATTCTTCTATTTTGCAGTCTTACACTGTATACAGGAGCAAAATAAAATTCTGAAAAATAAATTAACAAAAAAAAATATTGTATTGCACTTATTGATGCAGCCGATGTAAAAATGTATGCCTAATAACCAAAAAACAATGCAATAAATATTATTACTCATATAAATTCGTCATAATATAACATTACTATTTCTTCTTCATTTCGTTGTATTATTTATGCGAATTTTATTTAAATAGAAATTCTCATACAACTTGAAATTTTTAGTTTATTTGTAGGAATAAAAAATTATATTTAAAAAAAATAAAGATTAGTTATGTACATGCTAATGGGAAACTTACAAGTTTTGTATTCTTAAATTTACATTAAATTCTAGTTTTAAAAGAAAGAAACATACAGAATCACTACATATAATAAGAATTTAAATTGATATTTTTTGTTATATTGTGCTTTGTGATATATTAATTTAAAACAATTAATTTACAACACATTTTGAGAACGAAATGAATTGTGGATGATGGTGAAATTTAAAACACCTCCATAATGAATATGAATACGTACTGATCATTTTTGTTTATCTTATAGACTGAACAAACAAATAAGGTTTTTTCGGTATTGCATAAGGCACTGCAAGTTCTTAATCAGAACTAAATAAAGCTTTTTTGAAATATTTGAAGCTCTACAAAGTTTGACACTACCACTTTTGTGTGATGCGCAAGTATATCAGAATTAAAGTCGTTTAATCAATCAATCAATTGGTCAAAACAATTTCAAATAAGGAATTAAAAAAAATGGAGCGTGAATTTATCTCAAACTTGTTGAAAAGGCAATTATTTCAAAGCATAAATATATTTTACTTAATTAAAAGGATAAATTTCACATTAACTTAAAAATTTAAACAACTTACTTTAGTAAATCTACATTGTGCGACATTTTAATTTTAAAAATCCCCTTTGCAATGAAATTTATTTAAACTGCTCATATGCTAAAACTTTTTTAAAATTTTACTTGCAACATGGGCTACAGAATATGCTACAAAACAATTCTTCAAAATCGAACATTACAAATTTGTAGTTCTCCTATAAATAACATACTGCATGTCAAATCTAACTAACAACTGAAATACCGAAGTAAAAATTTACATTAGTTCATTAAGAAAAAGGGTAAGAATAATTTAAATGTTGTCATAACCGGTAAATTTCCGTAGGTAACGTGCGCAGAATACAGCTAGTACAAAACAAAAAATTCATAGATAAAAATAAAATTTAAAACAAGTAAAATCCTGAACCACAAAAAAATTTCCCTTTGCACCATACGATACAAGCTTTTTTGTGACGATTGTTTTAATTCATGTCTAATTGAATTTATATTGTATATTTGTCTGCATATCTGGTTATAGTTCCTAAAGTACTTCACATACTTCGCCTTGTGCAAATTTATGTTATCTTACAGTAACAAAACGGTTATGTTTGAATGATAGTTTTTAACTGGATTAAGAAATAATTGTTTTCACAAGAATTACCTGGTTTTTGTTTGCACAGTTTCATAACGTAGCGGTTTCCGAACTGCTAAATACCGATCAACTGAAATCCACATAAACGTATAAACTGAAACTGACCACAAGGTTACTTCCAAATAGCCTGTGAACCGACACAGGATATCGCCGTATGTCCATTCTCCTCCTTTTAATGCTGGATATATCGAAAACGGCACAATTAAAATTCCGCATAGCAAATCAGCTGTCGCCAAAGATAAAAGGTAGTAGTTTATTACTTCTGTTGGACCTGAAATAAAACAGACATAAAAAATTAAACAAACACAAATTAGAAAAAATATTTTTAAATCTTAATTTGATTTTTTTGCACTTTTCCAAAAATTTTTAGAAAAAAATGTTTATTAGTTTTACTCTGTCCGTCCGTTCGTTCGTCCGTGGACATGTTACAAAACTTCTCTACACCTTTGAAGATAGAAAGCTGAAATTTAATATGTACATAGATCTTTCCTAGAAACTTATTTCCGTAGAAGAAAATTTTTCTTATCTCCCCGTATATAATGGTATTTTTTACCCATTTATCACAGTGAAACCGTAAGCATTTCTGAAATTTTTGAAACGCAGAAATATACTGGCTGCCTTCTTCTACTAGGGCATACTATATTTGAACTTTAAAAAAACAAAATTGCCGTTCAAATTTACCCTTATCTAAAATCCGTTTTTCCCAAATTTTTGATGTCGCTTTTCTTCAAAACTCCAGGTTTTAGGAGCCTGAAATTATGCTAACCCCTCTTTAAATTAATTTTTGCTTTATTTCAAAGACTGCATAAATCGTTCATCCTAAATATATGCAATCCTATAAATAGTTCCATGTGTGAATGAAAATAATTTTAATAGTGTGATGGGTATACATACCTATATCTAATCTACATATATATGTAGTTTGTTTTTAAAAGCAGTATTTTCACTTGTTGAAGGGAAAAGTGGAACAATACAAATCATTGGTTTGACCCAACTTTATTTTAATTTATAACAGTCTCAGGAATAATATTATCATTTTACATATTCAAAAAAAGATCGATAAGATCAATGTCATATGCATTTACATTAACTCTAATATTATACTCAATAACATTGAATTACACTGAACAGTAGTTAATCCATGGCCTTCTATTTCCAAGCCAACAGTTGGTAAAGGTGCATCTTTGCTGGATGAAGCAATCAGTTCCGAACCTCCTGCAGGTTCGAATTGCTAAAATAAAAAATCTTGCACTAATTGCATCAGACTTTTTAAGCAACCAGTCGCTAAATCTTCCCTCAACTCTTAGCCTCGATGTTCGAACCTAATTGTGTTCAAAATTTCCAGTCACTACTATAGTAAGTAGACTTAAGTTGTTACTAACTAGTAATTTCAAGTGCGATAATGTGACCATAGTTAATATCACTCCAGGTAACTTAAAATACAAGCCCCAATATAAGTCTTTCAAAATTACTGCACCTTCTTCCATAGCCGACGACATAATTGTATCTTTAGGATGATCTTTACCGCTTTTACGAATGGTGTTTAAGTAATAAACTAAAGATCAATGTAAGTAAATGTGTTCAAATGTCCTACTCTAGGCAAAGACAGCCATTTTTAACAAGCTATACTTTGAACAGCCAAACTCTTAATCGAGTTGATTCAATAATGGACTTGGATGTTTGCTTTCATAACAAGCTATTATTGAAAAACCACTACAATCATATCACATGCAGATCAAGCTCGATGTGGGGTTTCATTAAACGTTGGTCAAAGAAGTTTAATGATCCTTATATCTTAAAATCGCTCTACACGTGCCTTGTCCGTCCTCATCTTGAATATGCTATGTAAGTATGGTTATTCTATTACGATATACATTTTAACAGATTGAGTCTACTAAAACAATTTTTTTGGGACTCGCACTGCGCCTTCTTCCTTGGGAAAAACCCATCATTCTTCCACCTTATGAACACAGAATTAATTGTCTTACCTACACTGGGAAAAGGACCTGATTTTGCGGATTTGTTATTAATTTTTCAGCTTATGAAAACTGACTTAATCTCTCTCGACATTTTAAATAAAATTATGACTAACTCTAACTTTAGGTCTCGTTTCCCTGATCTTTTCATGGCTTTTTTTCGTAGGATAAATTATGGGAAACATGAACCTGTCAGCAGATTGCTGCGTTTATGCAACAAACACAGACTTGAGTTTTGACTGAGGAAAGACACGATGAAAAAGCTTTTATTTTTATTCGTAGTTAAGTAGAACCTTTTTTTTTATTTTAACAAATTCTTGTTTTAGTTTTAAAATGTTTATATTGTATATTTGATGGTGTATTAGTATTAATAAGTTTTGTTTTGTATAATTTTTAAATTTAATTTTTAAGTCAAAAATTAGTTACTATTTAAATAAAAATGTATATATGTAACTAATTCCAAATACAGTGGAATCCGCTTATAGTCACTACTGTTTATAGTCATAATTCGGTTACAGTCAACAATTTCGTTGTCAACATCTTTTTTATTATATTTTCATGTATTTTCATTTGTTTATACATACATCTAAAGGCTATCAAGTTCAGAGAGCAAATCAAAAATAAATACCAAATTTATATGGAATTTAAATAGAAGTGTTGTCGGAATTTATTTGTGTGAAGGAAATTGATCAATATTTTTTGTTCTATCGATTCTCCATATTTTTTTAAATTTAAAATTCAAATTTCAAAAAAATTGGTTAGTAATTTCCATCTGAAAAATGCATTTAAAAAACAAAAATGCGATTTTTAGCGTAGACAACCTTTTGTCTTCCAAATGGAAGAGTACTGAATTACAGAGTAAAATTTTTGAATAAAAAATAGAATTTAAAAATAAATTGAAGAAAAAAGCAAAAAAAATTATAATCTAGATGGCTTTTAAAATCATACTAAATAAAATGAAATTTATAAAGAAAACTCAAAAATTTCACAAAAGAAATAAAAAAATATTTCAATCGGCATACTTTGAAAACATGAAACATTAAGAATTGTTTTTGTAATTTTTTCCGATTCAAAATTTCGGAAAATAATTTCAACTTGGAGGCCTGATAGTTATATTATGGCATTATATTATGTAACGTATATGCGTTCTTTAATTTTAATTTATGTAAAATGTTTGAGCTGAACATAAATTCATAAATAAATAAATAAATAAATAAAAATATTTACACAATAAAAAAACTTTACAAGAAATTTACACAATGTAAGCTTTAAAAAATTTACATAATTCGTTGTGTATTTGACCTTATTGCCGCATTTTTTTATAAAAAAATCTTTTACAATCAGTAGAAAAAAGTTGAAAAGTTAAACTTTTGCGACCAAATTGTGATGAACTAAAAATTTTAAATATCAAAATTTTGTGTAATGCGTTTAAACGAGTCGATCGGTATAAACCTTTTGAATTATATTCTGTACCTTTCATTATTGTATAGCAATTACTCGAACCTGTGAAACCATTTTATAGAAACTTCGCTAATATGTCTGATCTATAATGGGACATACTACTGCCAAGTTTCAAGAATTTGAGTTTATCATCTGTTAAAATATTTAAAATTAGCTTTTGGACTTGTGTGGCAGCTAACCGAATGTGTTAAGCAATTCAACTACAACTCCAAGAATATATCTGACCTATTATTGAAGGTACGACTGCTAAGTTGTATGAATCTAGTTTTATTATTTTTTGAATATATAAAATTTGATTTTGGAGTTGTATGGCAGCCACCCGAACCGGTGTAGTCATCCTATTAAAATTTTTAAAGCATGTAGAATATGATTGGACCCACGTATACAAAATTTCTTTTTTATACCTTTATTATAAATTTTTGAAATACTTGAAATAAAATCTTTGAGTTGTGTGGCAGCTACCAGAACCGCTGTCCGAATCAGTCCAATTGCAATAGGGTTCGGCCTTGGCACAAAAGGAACAACTTGTGAAAGTTTGTGGTCGATTGCGTTTTTCGTTTTTGAGTTACCTTGCGATCGGACAAGGGAACATGTCTAAATCAATGTTCATACCGAAGATGACTCCTTCAAACCAAAGTGTGTACATTTATGTAAAATATTCTAAAGTGCTACACAAAGTGACTAGTTTTATTTTAGGTGTACTGCAAATTTTCAAAGTCATTTAGATAACCTTTTGTTTGTTTTTTTTTTCACTTTTTCCCTCATAATACACCTTAATTTCTGGCGAACCTACTATATTTGTTTAATTGGGTTTTTCCTAGAATGTCAAAGATTTGATATTGTTGATCACGTCATCCACTTGATTTTGCAAATGATGATTATTTGTAAGCATGCAATTGTCTCAATTGACATTTTAGAAATTATTTCAAAAACGCAGGAAATTTACAATTTCAAAATTAAAATGTTTTCTTCGTCATTCATTTTTTCTTCGCCCAAAATGTCACAATAAAAATCAACTGTGGTTTATTCCTCCGCTCTTAGAATTAAATGTCGTTATTTGGACGTTTCAGAAGAATGGAGTGTTTTAGAACAAGCTTCGTGTCGTTTTTGGCTTACTACTTATGTGAACCAAAACTACTTGTATACATATTTTGATAGTATGTATCGATCTTTCTTTTTGTTGTTTTGGCTGAATTTCACCAAAATCTATGAAAGTTTTATCTTATTTTTTTGTAACAAAAAATTTTATTTTTATAAAATTTATTTTCTGAAACGAATTTTTTAAAATTTTAACTCAAACTAAATTTTACAATTTCATAAATTTCGATTCTAATAATCAAATTTTTTTTTATGAACTAATTAGCTTACTTGATTTTAAAAAAAAAAAAAACTTATGGTGCACTTGAATGATAATGACAAAAAATAAAATCTGATGTGGTCAGCACATAACCGACCGCATTGTGTGTTGTCTAGTTAAATGAAAGTGTTACAGAATATTATTAAAATGTCTGTTAAATACTTCTTTCCAATTTTTAGGACTTTAGTAAGCTTATAGTTAATATACCCAGAAAAATGTAAATTTGGCTCTTAGTAAATTTTCGCTTTGTGCTACCCGAATTCCCTGAAATGCTCGCCAGTTAGTTTCGGTAACAACCAGAACTCAACCAGATATCAAATTTCAAGAAATTCCATCAATTCGTTCCATAGATATGGTGAAAAATGTAAAATCGGCCCGCAAATCAGTTTGCGAGCCCTGATCTTTCCAAAAACTTTATATGTTCATTGTTTTAATACGAGGAATTTAAATATTAAATTTCAATGAAATCGGTTGATT